CAGGAAGTATGGCGCTGCGCTGTCAGTACGCTTGTCCCTGTTTGTGATTGGTCAAATGTTGCTAACCCCGCCCCTTTCATGTGAATGCGCACTCAGCTGGAGAGAGAAACCCTGGCTTGAGTTACCGAGTTGATAACCAGCGTCGTAGGACCGCTTAGCGAGATCTCGTTTGTCAGGGTTAGATAATTCAAACATGTCCAGGGTCTGTTGAACTGGATTCGTAGTACAGGCCTCTGGAGGGGAGAAATACAAACAAAATTGTGCATCGTTGTTTATAATACAGTCCTGAATTTGACTTTAAGAAATTCGTATTCATTCATCTGAAGTGACGTCAGAGACTAATGACGGCAGCAGCGATGGATTCGCTCTCGGTGAGCTCTCACAGCTCTGTAGGGACGTTTGTTTGGAGTTTGAACGGCTTCAGATACAGTTAATTTTCATCATAGATAAATCTGACAATTCGTTTTGGGATTCATCGATTAATCAGACTAAGAAAAAATATGAAAAATGTGCATCCCAGCCTCTCAGATTCCTGGGTGATGCATGCAATGTACTGTTCTGTCCGTTTAAAAGCAACAAATATTCACCTTAACATGTTATGAAAGCAGGACATCTCCATATAAGAGAAAACTAACGGTTCTGATATTTTTGCCAGAAAAATTACTTTCACAATGAATCTCTCAGCAAATGGGGGGAATTTTGGTGTGTGTGTGTGTGTGTGTGTGTGTGTGTGTGTGTGTGTGTGCCTTTGCAGAGCATTTACATGCACACAAACCTATACTGTATAACACACTACAGGAAAGGGAAAACCAAAAAGCATACAGGCCTCTTTAAGACAGTAAGAGTTTTATTCAACACACTTGTAAAAAAGCTCTTATGGTGACATGAAGTAACTTCATACTATTCTAAACATGTTTACAGATTCATTATCTATCCAAGTATGAGAGGAGTTATTATTAGTTAGTATGGTCCATCGAGGCAAACTGATCTGAGTCAAAGGAGTGACATCAAGGATTAAATCAGCTTGACTTACTTTATAAATAGTTAAAACTGAACTTGTAAAAAATAAATCAAAGGGTTACATCCAGCTGTTTGATGTGAGATGGAGGAGGAAGGTAAAATAAACTAAACCCACAGAGGTATTTCCTAAACCAATTTTGATATAGTTATATTATAATAATTATTTATATTTCTTATGTCATTATTAGTTTAATTCTTGATCAATTATTACCACAACTGTCGTTAAAAAATGTTGTATTTTATGTATTCTTAATTTGTATTATTTATTTGTTTGGGATTGTGCAGTGAGGTGGGGGGGATACACACTAAAGCTATACACTTATTATAGAATTGTAATTAAACACGTTTTCTTATTTGAAAAGCAACTTTTTTAAGGATAATAATTTAATGAGTAATAAAAAGAGAACTTATTAAAAGTTGCAACATTTGCAACATAAATTATGAGAAAAAATATATATAATGAATGACTTTTATATACTGAGATGTCAGATTCTTAGTTGTTGTAATCCCAATAAGCGTATACAGATGTCATCTTACTCCTCAGATAAAAAGGCGGATATTATTACGGCCGCTCTAATATGTTCCGTAAAGCCACCAAAGGGTGTGTGTGCGGCATTAGAGACACCTTTTGTTTTCAACCTGAACATTCCAGATAATGACCCGTCTGTCTCCATAGGTTTCAAGGACTTCAAATAAAGACGAAGAAACAAAACGATGTGTCCCATGTTGTCCTCCAGCCTTAGCGGTTCAGGCACACATTGGAAAAAGGCCAAAAACCCCAAAGAACCTGACAAAATGAGTGTATTATTTATAAAGGACTAGTGAAGCAAAGGCTGCTCAGTGACAGGAGAAGTGTGGGAGAAGTTTCAGAGCAGAGAAGATGTTTTTATTTCAGTCTCCTCGTCTTCATCAGGACACAAAGAGAGGAAGATGTTTGAAACGTGGAGGCCAATAAATCTGAATGAAAGCCTGGAGTTGCTATCCTGAAGCTTTTTTTTATCAAAAATCGAGATCAGTGAGAGCTATTGACAGAAACACAGTCAGAACTCTCATCAATCTCTCCGTATGGATTCTGGATAATCCATATACTCTTACAGTAACTCTATTATCCAGTCTTACCCGCGATTCGATAAGTCTGGCTTTCTCCAGATGCGCCTCCTTCAGCATTTTCTCCATCTCCTCGATCTTCAGCGTGTCCACTCCTCCGAAGCTGAATCAAACGCAGCAGCACAGGGTTAGCACACAACCTCCACCTGACTTCAAAATCCATCTGAGCAATTCATATCCTGACTTCTACATCTGACAACTACATCATTTCATATCAAATCAGTTTAATGTGAGTTGGGGCTCAAACATTATATGCAGGGCAATAGCTGTAGGCAGTATTGTGAACTATTTCCATTTCAACGACGCATGTAAAAACGTCTAAAATTGCATTAAAAATCAACATTTTTATTTAAATCCCAGATAACCACAAAGTGACCTTAGCTAACTTAAAGTCTTGGCATTTTAATCTACTTTAATAAAACCCTAACTATGTAATTAGTTAAATTCATAAAAACTGTTTTCGTCAATGGATGTATTAATCCTTTTCATTTCTTTCTTTTAAAACGTGTTTTTGCTTTCCAAATTGTTATCTTAAACTTCAGGAATTTGGTGATGCATGTGTCTCTTCCTTTTTGTCAATAAGTAAAGGAATTTTGGACGCCGGATAGCTCAGTGGTTAGAGATTGCGGCCCGTATGCGGTTTCCATGGCACAGAATGCGGTTCGACTCCTTGATATTAGTTTATCCTTTTTTGTCAACAATATTCCATGTCGATATCGTCACGGTAAGTGTTCCATGATGTCGGTGCCATCTTATCAACGCCATCTTATCAACGCCTCATCTTAAACGGCTCTGCGCTGACATTCCCCGTTCTGTTTCTATGGAGAGATCGGTGCAGCACTGCTGAAAGTCGAGTACTGCGCTAAAATTATTTAAAATACTTCAACTATGACCTTGTTTACCGCTGACATTTCAAAGCACAACCAATCAGATTAAGGATGCATGTAGCGCACAAGCTAGTAAAGGACGGAACCAAACTGAACTGGTTGTTTTAGACGCAAAACTCTGCGCCCAACCTTGCGAAAATTATGTATCATATGAATGCAGCTATAGTCTTCGAAAGAAAAGTCGTATTTAGTCCTAGCTTTCATTGGGAGATAATTTAAATAATCTCAGGCTTGTAAACATTATTTAGGCGATTTAAATTTATACAAAAGAACCCAAAACGACCCACCACCCAGGCAAAGGAGAGAGGATCTGCCTGTGTACCTGGACATGTTGTCAGGCGAGCAGGCCGAGTTGTTGCCGGTGGAGATGCTGGTGTCCATGCTGTCGGAGCTCTCCAGGCTCAGGGTGTCGTAGGGCTGCTCCCCGGCTGAGGGGGGGTGGTGGTGCAGGATGGAGTGGTGCACCAGGGGGGGGCCGCCTCCGGAGCCGTGGCTGTACGACATGATGGGGGAGTAGGAGGGCGAGGGGGAGGTCATGAGGTGGGACTGAGAGCCGTGCAGCGCCTCCCACTGGCACTGAGCCTCCACCGCCGCGCGCTGCTTCAGCTCCGCCAGGCGCCGCCGCTGCTCATCGATCACCTGCTGACCT